TTGCGAAGATCGGTAAGCGAAACACTTACCGGTCTTCGCAAAGCGAATTTTTCCCCATTAAAAAAACGTTGAGCGATCGCATTAGCAATCCGAAAAAACGGATCGCTATGCAATTTCATCGTTATACTGTGCGCTCGTTAAGCGAGGCACCACTGTATCATTGCACCGTTCATTTAAGAAGGCCCTCTTGTCTCTCCTTGTTATTCTTTAGAAGTCTGCATTCCATTTTCTGTAACTTTCCCTATCTCCCTTGCATTTTGTTTCCCTTCTCTTCTCTGCTATTTGTAAGGCCTCGTTGGGCAGCCACTTTGCTTTCTTGCATTTCCTTTTCTTTGGGATGGGGTTTTTTTTTGCTGCTCCTGTACAGTGTTACTGGCCTCCATCCATAGTTTTTCAGGCACTCTGTCCACCAAATCTAGTTCCTTAGATCTGTTCTTCACTTGCACTATATGTTCATAAGGGATTTGGTTTAGATTATACCTGACTAGCCCAGTGGTTTTTTTCCTTCTTTCTTCAGTTTAAGCTTGAATTTTGCTATAAGAAGTTGATGATTGGAGCCACAATCAGCTCCAGGTCTTGTTTTTGCTGACAAAGATATTGGAGTAGCTTGCCTCTTCCTGCTCCAGGTGGATCGGGTTTAGTCAGAACTCTCCACTATGACCTATCCATCTTGGGTGTCCCTGCACGGCATAGCCCATAGCTTCTCTGAATTACTCAAGCCCCTTCGCCACGACAAGGCAGCAATCCTCTCTAGCAAACCTAGAGGTTTACAGGAATATAAAGCATCTTTTTTCTTCAGGAAACCAGGGAGGGGGTGCACCATAAAAACAGTGTAGTGTGAGCTGTATATAGTCCCAGGGCCACATTTTGCCCACTCTTAGTGTAGGGAGTCTTTAGCACTGACATTCTGGATAATGGTGTGGAGCAAAGTAAACTAAATTGTCATGGCAAACATTTAAGCCCTCCATTATGAGCCTTTATGTCCAGCTGCTGGCTTGAAGAGATTTTAATCTTGCTGCATTTTTCTCTTTGTTTCTAAAAATACTTATACATGCTCCTGGAAGTAGTGCCTTATGGCATCCACATCTGTAATTTCCAAGGATTATAACTCCTGCTTCTCACTCACAGAAGTGTAGAATTAAAAGAGATCTCGCAAATCATCCAGTTTATTGTGCTGTGTGCATGAGTCAAACAGGTATCTGGCTGGCTGCTGAGCAAACAGAAATTTGATTCCAGTAGAGCATTTGTCTGATCCACTCAGGTTGTTCTGATGTTCAAGGTAGTGAACATAGGGATTCCATGTAATCCTGAATTATACAACAGGTATATAATTTAAAAATATTTGTAAAGGTAAAGGTTCCCCTTAACTATTTTGTCCAGTCGTGTCCAACTCTAGGCAGCGGTGCTCATCTCCGTTTCCAAACCATAGAGCTAGCGTTTGTCCGCAGACAATCCTCTGTGGTCACGTGGCCAGCGTGACTAGACACGGAACGCCATTTACCTTCCCACCAAGGTGGTACCTATTTATCTACTCGCATTTTTGCATTTTGCATGCTTTCGCACCGCTAGGTTGGCAGGAGCTGGGACAAGCGTTGGGGGCTCACTCCGTTGTGTGGATTCGATCTTACGACTGCAGGTCTTCTGACCTTGCAGCACAGAGGCTTCTGCAGTTTAACCCGCAGCGCCACCACATCCCATAAAAATATTTTACCTACACCAATCTTTCGTTTCTATCACAATATCCATCTTATACTTATTCCCTAACAGGAAGGGACAGCACAAAAATACACCTGCAAAATTTTCAAGTACTGTACGTAATGTTGACCTTTAATAACTTAATATATTAAATGACGACCTTTGTATTTCTTCAGTTTTGTGTTTAGGACTTAGTAGCTCTTTAAGACGAATTCACTGTTTACAGTTTCCATGGGAATTCCCAGATTATGACATTTATGCAGAGGAATGATGTCACAATGGTTGTGCTGGAATACAACTAAAACTCCAGCAGCTTGCTCCTTAATGCAAACTTCTGGCCAGGGCTTGCAGGACCAATTTTTTTTCCTCACGAGTGCCCTTTTCCAAAGGCTGTACTCGTACACTAATATGGTTTAGTGTTTCCTAATGGCAACCCTCTGTCACGCTCTGGAAGCTGTGAGGCGAGATTTAAGGCGAACTGACAGAGAAATAAAGAGGCGCTTAAGGCTTTTGGATATGCATTGCCATAGATACTGCGACATACACACCCATTGCCTCTGCGACATAAATCTCCATCCACATTGTTGCTGCCTTCTCCATCCATATCCTCACTGCATGTGTGACATCCTATGTTGTCCACCTTGTCGTCCACTCTGCCTCTCTTCCTTGGAGCGTAAAGCGATCAGAGCTAAAATTGAAGCCGAGCAAGAACTGGCCAGGTAAGATTATATGTTGATTTGTCACTTGAGCTCTTAGAACTTTTCACCATTAAGCTGCTAAAAAGAGAGAGATAGCAGCAAATGAAGCAATAGGGAGATCCTTTCAGTACTTGATACAAAAAGCAGGTTTAAAAAGCTCTTATTCAGGAGTGAATGCTCATATAAGAAGTCCTGCAGAAGGGAATAAAAGCCATACTTTGTTTCCAGATGTATTTTAAATGGGAAATAAAAGCCATACTGTACTTTGTTTCCAGATGTATTTTAAATGGGTGTATATACCATGAAAAAAACTCTCCATGTCTTTGTGTAATTGAGTACGTATACATACTTCCTGTGCACTCCTTTTTTTCCATCTTAATCGTTCTTCCACTCTGATACAAGGATGACAGAACTGTGGCCTTCTAGATGTGTCTGCATCCCAGCTTGTACCACCTGTCATCATTGGCCATGATGTTTGGGGATTGATGGGCACAGGAATCTCACAATACGTAGACAGTCACAAGTTCCCCACCATAAAGGAAAGTCTAAGAACATCAGAACTAAAAAAAAATGTGCAGTTTCTCTGGGAAGGAACTGCCCTCTTTTTTTAGTTCTGATGTTCTTAGAGGTGGAAAATCTTTAACTCTCTGTAGTTGAAGCTGGTCCATTTGGCCAAATGGGACACCCTCCCACCAAAAGCTGCCTGTAGTCAGTCCATCCCTACCTGCTTCTTGGCTTAAGGTGGGGGATCTGGATACTACTTGTATCTCCCTATTCCTTGAGGCATTTGCATCACCATCATGCTCAAGTGGGAAGAAAATTTGAGGATGAATGTGAGTGAAAGAATCAATTGTCAGGCCTTGAAATCAAACATTAAGGGAAGCAATGGGAAATAGGAATGATTCTAATCTGGGAAGACAGTATATTTTTCTACTCAGATGACTTGTAGCATTAATTAATGGGGTTGGGGTGAGGCAGTGCATGCTTCTGTCTGTACTGTATATCCCCCTTTGCTCCTTGTAATTGCTTTTCAGACTTCCTGCCTTTCTGCTTCCTTATATGTCTGAAGCCAGATAATTCTTCTGCATCGACTCACTAAAAATTAAAACAGAGTTCTGGGTGACAACATTTGTTTGTTTGCAATGCCACCTAGATCAGTTGTCACTTCTCTCAATTTCACTAACTGAAATGCGTTGCCCCTGTGAAATTAACACCCAACAGCCAGGCAAGAGAGAGAACAGGAAAAAGGGTGTTTCTGTCTTTGCATTTTCTTTCCTGCCCTTCAAAACTAGGCAGAAATTTTGTGATTGGGTATACATATGTCTTTTTTCCAACTGTAAAAAGAATCGACAAGGGGGCTGGTAGGCCCATGGTTCACAAAGAGTGAGATTTAATCCTTTCTTTCAGTCAAGGTTGGCCCTTCCTTGAAAAAGACTGGCAGCCGCGGTAATAGAGGTTGCTGACTTTGTTTTCATGGGGTTGGTGGGTCTGTTCCGGCTTTTAGTCATCCTTTATAGGAGCGAAAACAAAAGGCACATTTTCTGAACAGCTTCACCAGCAAAATTGGAATCACTAGCCTCAACTGCACCTCAGATGCCAAATACTGGGAGGGACCAGTGATAGCTTAATGGCACTTCCTCCTGAACTTTCTGTCTCTTCCACTGGTGTACCACACAATTAGTCCTGTGCCTCCTATATGAGACTGCTACTGCCTCAGAAATGGGGCTGGGATTAGCTGGAAGGGTGGAGGATTTTTACCTCAGGTGTGGTGGAGGATCCTACCCCACTACCAGTGTCCAACTGCGGGCTCATGTTTCCTAATCAATCCTGTTTGAGAGATGGTTCCATCACCCACTGATTGGGATTAGCTTAATTAATCTACATGACACTACTGGAGATTTGAATCAATCCCTCCCCACTTCAGCTTGGGGATTATTTTCCCTTGTCAGGGGTTCCCCCCCCCCAAGCCCAGTTCATTGTGGGAAGAGCCACCTGTTAGTAGAGCTGCACAAAGGCTGTGAAAAGCAAATGGGGGGAGAGAAACAAAGGGTAGAGACTGTGGAAGGCATGAGGGGGAAGAAAGAAAGCTGCTGTAGAAATTGAAATCAGAAGAACCTGGGATACATTGAAAGAAAACTGACAAATATTAAGGTTTGGAGTGAGTGATTCTAAATCTATGGAGGTGGAGACTACAGTTCCATCCCACATCAATCTAAGCTACACACCTTGTGTGGATAAGCCCTAAAATAGATTCAGCTGACACTCCACTCCATGTCTTTATCTGGACTGGGAAGCAGGCACCATTTTAACCTTGTCCTCAGCAGCAAAATGTCTCAGGCCAACTGTTCTCCTCCAAGTAAAAACCGTTCTCCTCCAAGTAAAAATCCTCCACTCTTCCAGCTAATCCCACCCCCATTTTGAAGACCTCTTTGGCAGGTAAGCTCCCATTGGTGCTAGTAGGAATTCCCATGCCAAAGAGTGGTTTCATGTGGTGGATTTGGCTTTGTTGGAATCTATGGAAAAGAAATTCTGTGATTGGTCTTTCGTTCTTTCTTTCGATAGATGCAACAATAAACCACATGATTAGTAGCATAAGTAGTCTGGATTGCAGAGAGACTGATCATAATATGTATTTACTTCTCCAGCTATTTCATTTTTATCCTACTTTTCTCCCAGTGCAGAGACCTAAGGCAGGTAAGAATGAAATGCAAATAGCATTTGGTGAAGTTATGTGTTGTTAAGGCACTTCCAATTTATGGTAACCTTATGAATTAGTGATCTTCAAAAGATCCTGTGTTTAACCACCTGCTAAGGTCTTGCAAACTCAAAGTCATGCCTTATTTTATTCCATCAATCCATCTCATATTCAGCCTTCCTCTTTTCCTATTGCCTTCAACTTTTACTAGCATTATTGTCTTTTTCAGTTAATCTTGTTTTCTTACCAGGTGCCCAAAGTATAATGCTCTCAATCTAGACATTTTTGCTTCTAGGTAGTGTTTAGGCTTGATTTGATCTAGCCTGCTTATTTGTCTTTCTGGCAGTTCATGTTATCCATAAAGCTGTCTTCCAACATTAAATTTAAAATTAATCTCTCCCCCCCCCTCCAGCTTTCTTTAATGTCATGCTCTCACATGCTAATTTAGAATACCATACTACAGATTATTTCTGCCTTGGTCTCCGATGACACTTCCTTACAAATCCTCTAGTTCATTGTTAGCTACTCTTCCCAGTCTTCTTCTGATTTATGGGCTTCAGTCTCCACTTGGATAGGTGAATCAAGGTATTAAAATATTTCAATTTCTTAATTATCCACATCAAAGTTACCTAATTCTTCTGTAAATGTGATTTTGTATTAATATTCAATTGCAGTCCTACTTTTGCACTTTCTTCTTTCACGATTGCCAGGAGACATTTCATGTCGTTGCTGCTTTTTTGCGCATTTGGCAGAAACATGAAAAAGGGAACTCCCTAGACAAGGGAGGCTAGAAAGACTGTTATCTTTCTAATGATAAGCAAATACAGTTTTATTCAGACAGGATTTGGGCATTTGTTGACCTGCTGCTAAAGCAGGTTTCAATCTGGTAGGTGCTGTTATTTTTTGTTCTTGTTGTTCATTTTCTTGTTCTCCTGGAGATTGGTTGTGACCATGGCTAATTTGACTTTCGATGTGGCAGCTCTAAAAAAATGTTGTTATGCAATTCAAACCAGCGTTCAAGGTTTTTCAACCAATAAATTCTTCTGCTTCCTGCGCTTCTTTTGCTATTTATTTTACCTTGAGTTATCATCTGTAATAATATGTGGACAAAATATTCTAGCTTTCTGCAGATTTCATGATTTCTTGGCCTTGATGCATTCAGTTCAGCATTTCTTTGATGGTCGCTATCTTGTTTCAATAAATTCTACATACTGATGTGCTTCTATTCTTTGTATGCTTTTAAAATGTTTGAAGGGTTCTTTTTTTATGCTCAGCCAGCACAAGAGCAGTTGTGTTAGTACAACAGGCTTCTGCCTATTCTAGACCCATTGCAGCTGGTGTATCTTTGAACTTGTGTTGCTCTACGTCATGACTGCTCCCTTCATTTTCATACTACTTGCCATTGCAGTAGCCAACTGGTCAAATTGTAGCCAACCTTTTGGTGATAAGCCTTTCTATACTTAGGCCGGTGCTCTGATGACACTTATTTTACTGCTGGGGCTGTAAAACTGAGTTCACAATTTGGTAACACTTTTCTGTTGGCAGAGCCTTCAAAAGCCCTGAGGTTTCCCTCCATGCCACAATTAAATATCAGCGTAGGACCACAGTTTGGTGGTGTGAGGAGTTTTTTATTTGCATGCTGACTGAGGGATTCTGGAAGTCTGCCGAGAAAGTAGAATTTCTAAGCTCTGAGCAGGACTTTATGGAGGTGTGGTTAAACAGAATGAGACAAAAGTATTCTATTTTTAAAAAGCCAAATGTTATGTTATCATCAGAACTAGCCGTCCCTATTCATACCATACACACTATTCTAACTGTTTTGTACTGGCATCTCTTCCCCCCTCCCCTTGATCTTGTAGGATTCGTAGAAGGGTTACTAAGATGCTGGCAACCTGTAGTCGCCCAAAGCTTTTGGCTTTGATGGATGTGAAGGGTTTTGACCCGGAAGATATTACAGTGAAAGTGCAAGATGGGAAGGTTAAAGTTTCAGCTGAGCACGAAGAAGAATTTAAGACCTGTCGAAGCAAGGAGTACAACTATTCCACTGTCACCAAGGAGATCTCTTTGCCACCCGGAATAGCAGAGAATGAAGTGACTTACACCATTGGGCCCACCAGTCTTGTAAGGATAGAATCACCGGGTACTGTGCCTCCGTGCCTCCTCAGTCTGCTTGGATGATCAGCGCAGGTAGCTGTTCAGCCAAAGGATGCAATAGGCCTCGGCCCTCAGGGCCGCCATTGCGCCTTTTGCAACACCACCCCATAACCTTTTGTTAGCAACTTGGTAGCCCTTCTTCCAACAACGACAGTACTGCACATCTGCTGGTTTGATCGTGTGTTTTTTTCCCCCTGCTGTACTTTAAAGAGTATTTAATTCATATTTGCAACCAGAACTTGGGGGTATTCCTTTTTAAAAGTAATTTCTTATTGTTGTAGCTTGACAGGCCCCCCCAAAAAGCTTGCTGCCATTATTATTAGCAATTGGAAAGAAAGATGAAGAACATTTTCAGCCTGAAGGTTGGATTCTGATTCATACATCAACCAAAACTAGCTGTGTATTTTAGTTTAAAGCTAACATTGACTACAGTATTACTAAGTCTTTAGAAAGGTCTATCAACATTTTAGAAAGAGCAAACTGTACACAAGTGGGAAACAACACAATGATAGTATTATATTGAAGGGACATGCTATGGGAGGAACCTCAAGAGCCAGATTCAGGCCTAATTTAAGGCTCTTTCTACAAGTAAAGTAGAATAGTTAATTTCAGTAAGAGATTTAAGTGTTAGCAAGAAAAGTTGAACAGTTATCTTTAACTATTGCTAAGCTTAATAATGTAGCCCTTTAATTGGGTGGGGAGTTTTTCTATATGCTAAACTGCCATTATGTTAATTGTTTTCTGTAACTATTTAGGAACAATAGGACTGAAAGAGAAAATGACATGTAATAATTTAGTTAATGCTGTTGCCTGCAGATGGCATCTTGTGTTGCTGGTTCCTTCAAAAATGCTGTTTGCAACCTGAGTTTCCTTTCCCAATCTGGCACGTTCTAGGTGTGACATATTCACACAGTTCTATTGCTCAGTGGGGATTGGGGATTTTTGTAATCCAGTGCATCTGGAAAGTGTTGTGTTAGGGAAGACTATCCTTCAGGCGTGATATCTTACAGTAACTAATACCCTGCATTATTGGCACGTATATGATGCATCCTCACTTTCCACCCCCACCTATCCCGGCATCACCATGTATGCCATTTGCTCCCCCTTCAAACACCACGGGTTGTATAAAAGAGCATGTCATCAAACTATAAAAATTCCTGTCAAAATGTTTCTAAAACTGCTATTTCACAATAACATTTAAAATCACTTTCAGTCTGCTTTAAAACCTAACTAATATCTAGGGCAAAGTAAAGGTAAAGGTAAAGATTCCCCTTGACAATTTGTCTAGTCGTGTCCGACTCTAGGGGGTGGTGCTCATCTCCGTTTCCAACCCATAGAGCTAGCGTTTTGTCCAAAGACATGCTTCCGTGGTCACGTGGCCAGCGCGACAAGACATGGAACGGCATTACCTTCCCACCGTGGTGGTACCTATTTATCTACTCGCATTTTGCATGCTTTCGAACCGCTAAGAGAATCCCAACCTCAATGGAAATGCATATACTGAATTAGCAGGCAAAGGCTGCTGGGGTTGACCAGAAGTGACCATTTGAAGGTACTGCTCAGGAAGGATGTCTGCTGGAGAAAACATATTAAGAATTGCTGGTATCCTTATTCTGCTCTATTCCACTCTGTGAAGACACAGAACAGACTTTAAAAATCAGCTTTACATATCTATAATCTCACACTTTTATTCGCAAAGCAAAGGTGGTTACTGCCTTTATCGGACCACTAAAACATTAAAAGCCAATGTGATACAATGAGTAAAGTGTTGGGCTGGTACTCAGAGAACCTGAGTTCAAATTCCCACTTGGCTATAAAAACTCCCTGGCTGGTGGCAAGGATAAATCAGTTCCTGAAATTCTCACATATTAGGCTCTTCATAAATCAAAAAGAAATTGATGGCACTTAAAATAGATGACCTTTCAAGTTCAGCAGAATCCTTCATCAGACTTGATGCTGCTGAGCTTGAGTGGATGGGGGGAGAAGATCAGATGTTGCTTTTATTTGAATTATACAGAAGGACCAAGATCTTTGGCAGAAGCATGGTGTGTACCTGGTAGACTGTTGTACTAGACACAGAGATGGAATTAGCTGAAGAGTGGTGATAAATATTAAAAATAAGTAAAGAATAGCTTTTTTAAAACTTTATCACAAACATTTAACATGCAAAAAATAATACCAATGAGCAGATAGATGTATTCTTCCAATTTTAATGCAATGCAGTGGGTTTAGGGGTGTGGCTCATGATGATCAGTGAGAGGGATTTAGAGGGACCTTGGGTTATTGGATTTTATTAAAGTGAGCTTGCCTGTCTCCCCCACACCCGCATAATTCAGCACTGGATACAACCAAGCAGGTAGAGAGGAAGAGAAAGAAGGAGGCAATTTGGTATAATATTTAACATGAAGGATTAATTTTTGCAGTTTATTTGACTGTTTTTCTCTGAGGCAAACATTCCCTCAACGAAGGAACGTCATCCCTCTGAGAGTCAAGATGATGCAGGAGAAATGCCTCATTTCATGGCCACGTTTAGTAATAGCTATATGAGAGATAGACCTGGGTTTCCTTTTTCTTAGGCCCAGGCAGATCAATGGGATCTAGCTCTGCTACAGTGCAAACTTGGTATCAGTGGTCTATAAGTTGTATTAGGATGACACATAGTGACCATTTATACTCATCTTGCCACGAGGAAATATATCACCCAAACAGAACAGAGTTGTATGTGCCATTTGATAGTTCTGGATGCAAATTGGAACCATTTACTGTAATTTAATATAGAAACACAGCACATGTCTCCCTAGTGGAGAAGATTGCAGCCAGGTTTTTCATGTGCTTTCTAAGTCTGCACTTGAAATCACTGTGGGCTAGGAACTTTGAGGCCCCTGCTCTCTCCTGGGAGGGTATTTGAAACTAGTTTTGGGGCTTGAAACCAGACTTGTGACTTCCATCACAACAAAAATAGGGACATGAAGCCCTCCATGTGTTTTTGGTCTACAACACCCTTTTGGACTAGAGGGCATAATGAATGGTGAAAGGTTATGGGATCGAATATCGTCTCAAAACATCTGGAAGGCCATAGTTGTCCATCCCTGCAATTTAAAAAATGCCTTCACATAAAAGATTATCCTCTAACAAGCCTTTAAAACAGAGTATCATCCTTTGCAAGGAAGAATGCATGTGAGAACAAGAATACTTTAGAATTTTTAAATTAGAAATGAGTGCCAAGTATCTGTACCAGAAAGACACACAACACCAGTATCAAGTACTGTATAGCATTAAAATCATATGACAACAGTGATCCCAACAGCTTTCAGTAAACTGATCAGAAATCTCCACACTAGAGTGCTGGTTGATCCTGACAGGTGCTTTGCCTTGGCCAAAGCATTGGACAGCATTACTGAGTCTAAAATAGCAGCATGTGTATAAAGGAAAACATGTTTTTCATGGTGTTTTGGAAAATACTTTTCATAAGTCCTCTTCTCGATATCTTAACTGGAGTTCACCTTTTCAGTGCATATGTTCTTCAAAGATGCATGTTCTCTAAACATGCACATTCTGGTATGTATGTGTATGTGTAAGTGTATATGTATATGTATGTGATATTTTAACCTTGGGACTAGTGCATGTTAGCAAGTAGATTCCAGATCACACTAGTTCTATCTCTCAAGGGGATTTTATTCAACAGCTACAAATCATAAACATCTTAATGATCACTCTTGAGAGGACAGCTTAATTGAGAGAGGCATAGATTACAAAACAAATGTGTGAATTCCACTAGAGAATTTGTTAGCTCGAAGGCAAACTCATCCTATGCAAAGTAACATAAGACACAGAATTACATAAATATTTAAAAAAAATTTAATATGCCAGATCTATTTGGGGAAGCTAGCTTATAGAGTGCATTTGCTAATTAATATGAGAGCTATGAGGCCTTAGAAACTAGGCTTCAGCCACCTGGCGTAAATGGATTGAAGGAAACAGGTTGGATCCTCTCCCCCATGAGGTTAGAATGACTGGGGTTAAGTACATCAGGCCATTCCAGACTTCTCTGGGTGTTAGAGGATAGGAGAAGTGGGAAAGAACATAAATGGCCTTATCAGTGGTTCATTTACATTCAAGCATACTACAGTGGCCATTTGCTGCAACAAAATATCAAAAATAGGTGGCTTGAATGATCAGAATAGCTAAGGTAAGAAAAAGTTCCAGTACCTTGTGTGCTGCCAATGTTCCCCTGGATCTCTGGTTCAGTTTGCTTACTGCCCACTATATCAGATTATGCTCTGTGTTAGACAACCTCTTAAAGAACAATTAATTATGTCAAAATAGGCAATAGAGCTTAGGGTTGCCAGATGTCCGGCAAAAGGAGGACATGTCCTTCTTTTTAACCTAATGCTCTCCGTCTGGCAGGCAAAGCTAAAAATCTTTAAAATGTCCAGCATTTGTAATATTTTATGTTATAATTTTGAATGGGAGGGGGAGAGGTGGAAGGTGGAAGGCGGTCTCTGGTGGAGTCACAATCTAAGACACCACTTTGGACTGTAAATCAGCCACGCCCACGTGGAGCTTTTGCTTCTGGAGGTGACTTCCTGCTTCGTTTTGAGCAAGCTGCGCATAAAGATTAGCAAAGAAAGGAGAGCAAGATACACACACGCGCACACACGTGCGCGCGCGCGCGCACACACACACACACACACACACACACACACACACACACACAATGAGTGAGAGGGAATGGGAAAACAAAAGAAGAGAGTAGAGAGAGAGAGCAGCGGCCGGAGAAGGGCAGGATCTTTTTTTTTTAAGGGGGAAAAAAGTTTGTGGGTTTGCCCGGAAGTATTCGAGCGAGCAGCAGGAGTCGAGAAAGGAGAGACAGCGGTGGCAGCTAAGTCTTCATACAATTTACACACAAATATAAATGTGGGTAAAAGTGGTGGAGGCTACCACATGTGCAGAAATGTATTACATTTGTATCCCATCCGACTTAGTGGAAACCACAGTAAGTACAGTCATCTAAACTCTAACACCTCACCCCCATTCCACCCACATTATAATAAATAAAAGTAATCCCAAACCAATAAAACAAAAACAACCAAGAAACGGAATAACACAAAATGAGGGCAACAACCCTCCAGTGACTCAGGCTCAAAGAGCAAACTAACTGAG